GGACGTGGCACCCCGTGCCAGGTCCCCGGCAGGCACCGCTCACGCTGCCGGGGCTGAGCACGGCGCAACTCCCTTCAGCGGTGACGCGGGGCCGGGGCTGGCAGCGGGCACTGCGGGGAAGCCGCCCGGCTCCGGCACGCCGCCGGCTCGGCGCACTGCGGGAGAGCCGGGGAAGCCCTGACCTCCCCAAGGTCGCCGGCACATCGATCCGGAGTGCTCGAGCACATGGAAACCGCTCCGGCCGTGCCAGCGCCGGGCTCGCAGCGGGGCCGRGCTCAGGAACGGCGGGACCCCGGGCGGTGACGCTGCAGAGGACGGAGGTGGCRGGGGGATGGCTCTCGGGGGAGCCCCCTCCCACCCCGCCTCTGCAGCACACAGCTCTGGGGGCAGGAACCCAACCCCTGCGGATTCTCTGCTGTCTTGTACCCTTGTGCCCTTTTCCGGGGGTCTCCTCCTGGACCTGCTGGGCTCTGCCTAGGTTGCTCCCCTCAACTCCGGCCTCTCTGGCTGTTGGGCTGGGAACAGAGATACCTGGAATGGGAGGCKGGTGTTCATCCCTGTGCTGGGGTGTTTTCCACCCCCCGCCCGCCGGTGCCCAGCTCTGCGAATGGCAGATCCCAAATATTGTGAACCCCATCAATCTTCTCACGACCCTGCTGATAAATATTTGCGCGGGGGCTGGTGGAGCGGCGGTGCCCGGGGAAACGCCTGCCCCTCCATCTGGAGGGGCTGAGCAGACGCTTGGCACGGCCGGCCTGGCACGGCCACAGCGCGCCTGGGACGAGAGCCCTGGCACAGGCTCCCCGGCAGATTGGTGCCATCTGCCTCACGCTGCAGCCAGCGGCGAGGCTGGTGGGGGAAGATAAGGGGCTGCCAGGCGGTGGGAGATGCAGATGCTGGCACAGCGCGAGGGTCCCTGCCTCCCCCCAGGTGCTGCCCGCTGGCGGCGGCATGGCCAGGGCTGCCAGGAGCTCGATGCCACTCTGGGGCCCAYCGCCTGCTTGCCCGGGGCACCCATCTGCTCCCACCCTGTTCAGCCCAGGGGGCTCAGGCAACGGGCACTGCCAGGAAATGCTCACTGCAGGGCAACGCCTCGACCCCCTGCCCCACTGAGCGCAACGGCTGGGGGAGTCCCAGAGAACCTCAAAGGTTGTGAGGGGCCAGCACTGATCCTGTCCTGCCTCTACCCTGAGTGGGATGGGGCTGGGGTCCAAGAATGGGGGCTACCAGCCCCCCGCCATGGGGATGGCAAGGACAGGGGAATGCAGAGATGGGGATGCAGCGATGGYGATGCAGGGATGGAGGCAGTGATGAGGGTACAGCGAGGGAGCCCACGGAGGTGGGGAGCACTGGCGGGAGGGTGCAGGAAGGGGGGCACTGTCCGCCCCCAGACTGGCTGCTGCCGTCGGGAGCTGCTGGGAGGAATCTCTCCGTAATGCTCCGAAGGTCCTGGCACCATCGGCTGGGGAGATTGATTACCATTTTACTGCAATGCTTTTGACTTTCACCAGCGACCTCCGAGCTCCCCCCAGCCCCCCCGCCCCCCCCGCCGCACACCCAGCTCTGGGCTGCAGCGCAGTCCCCTCCCCCACTGCGGTGTGCACAGCCCAGCCCTCACCCAGCCCCGCACCCATCCCGCACCCATCCTGCCTCCAGCCCTGCTCCCATCCTGCATCCAGCCCTGCTGAAATCCTGCATCCATCCTACACCCAGCTCTGTTCACATCCTGATCCCATCCTGCATCAAACCCTGCTCACAYCCCTGCCCATCCAGCACCCATCCTGCATCCAGTCCTGCTCTCATCCCGACTCATCCTGCCCCAAAGGTACCGGGTGCGGCGGTCACAGGGCTGGGTGCAGGATGGGAGCAGGATGGGAGCAGGGCCGGTGCTGCTCCAGGGAGGACTCAGGCACCCAGCACTCCCTGCACCGCACGGCCACCCCCAGGCCAGCAGGGCTGGGGTGGGGCCTCCCGCCAGCCCGGCACAGGTCGTGCCTCAGTTTGCCCACCCGGGGGCACGGAAAACCGAGGACAGGGGGAAGAGCCGAGGGGCAGAGCTCGCCCTTGGCATCGGCCCGGGAGGGGGGCCGTCCGGGCGCTGTGCCTCCGCCGAGGCTGCCCCAGACCGCGGGTGGGGAGCGCAGGGCCGGGGGCTCCTCCATCCCCCCCCTCCCCGGCGTTGCCAGAGCAGCGGCTGGGAAATTGTGCTGACACCGGCAAAACCGGGCGGCGGGGGCGGGGGAGCGCGGGCGCACGTGCTCGGGCTGATAACGGGGGGCCTCGGGGGCTGCGGGGAGCCCGGGCTGCCCGGCCGGGGGGGCTCTGCGCGACAGAAACCCGCCCAGACCCCTCTCTGTGGGGCTGGGGGTGCTGTGGGTGGCTCGGTCGAGCGGACAGACGGGTGAAAAGAGGCAGGAGAGAGCAGGAGGGAGGAAGCAGAATCAGGCAGGGAGGGCAAGCAGGACCGGGCCGGCAGGAAAGGGGAAGGCCGGTATTATGCCGGGCAGGGAGCAGCCCACCGAGCCTGTAATACTGCGATACAGGGATCTCCAGCACCCCCCCGAGTGCTGTCACCCAGCCTGGCCATGCCATGCAGGGTCCCATCGATGTGTTGGCTGCTTCCGTGTCCCTGCYTGCCTCAGTTTCCCCACCAAGCTGGGACACCAGAGACCCCTGCCAGCAGCCACGGCCTGACAGAACGTGCCCGCTGTGGGCTGGGACCGGGCCATGCCGAGCACCCAGCACTGTGCAGCACCCCAGGGGTCCCACACCATCACTCCTAGCCCATTCTGGTCCCCCTTAACCAGGGCCGGAGCGACCTTAACAGTGAAAGTGAGAGGCTGCCAGGCCTTATCAGAGAGTATTTACAGCCGCTGTGTTCCCAATTAGACAGTCAGGTGACTGCGGCTGCTGGGGACCCAGACGCYGGGGTCAAGGTCGCCGGTAGGGGGGTGGGGGGTGGCAGAGGGGCAGCCACCTCCCAGGGACAGCAGCCGGCCACGGCATGGCCAGGGAACCTGCCGGCATGGCAGCCCAGTGGGGCAGCCCAGGTAGCACAGCAAGACCCCGCTGTGGCTGCTGTGGGAATCCTGGTCCCTGCCATCAGCTCGGCCATTCCAGGGCTTCCAGCCCAGCATTGGGGTGCTCAGCCCAGCCCGGGGTACCCCAGCCCAGTGTGACACTGCACCTGCAGCTGAGCCAGGGCACAGTGCCCCAGTCCAGCCCAGTTCACCACACCCAGACARCACGGGGTGCCTCCAACACAGCAAGCAGCACCCCAGTTAAGCCCAGTACTCCATCCCACTCCAGCCCAGCATGGTCATGCCTCAGCCCAGTCCATGACACCCCACTCCCCGCCCAGGACACCCCCAGCCTGCGCCCTGGGTCCCCCCTTCCCAGTGCCCCCAGTGCTGGCGGTGCCAGGCCGCGCTGGGTCCCGTGCTGCCCCGGAGCGGGCGAGTCACGTGTGTGGGCACGGGTGTGCGGTGCTGGCAGCACACGTGCTCACATGCCGGGACACACGGCTRGGCAGGCAGGTCCCAGCCGCACACGCGTGTGCAACCACACATGTGCCCCRCGCCAGCCCGGGGTCCTGCCTGGGCACTGGGGCAGCGTCTGGCCCTGGCTATTCCCTGCTGGAGGCTGTGCCCTGCTTTTCCCCAAAGCCACGAGGGCCTGGTGATCCTGCCAAGCCCCTCCCCTGGCTAGTGCACAAGGTCACATAGCCGCTCTGCCTCAGTTTCCCCAGTGACACCCAGCATATCCCACGGATGGCTGAGCAGGGGGCTGAGCATGYGCCCACCATGATTCATGGTGCTGGCACCCTCTTTGCTGGCACTGCCAGCACCACGGTGCCCTCTGTGRTGTCACTGCCTGTCCCTGGGCTCTGGCCAGCGCCAGGCAAACAGCCACCAGTCCCACGCTCCCCCTGCTGTGGTGYGGATGGGGGTGGGCTCACGGGGCTGGGGGGCATCACAGGAGGTGCTGCCAGGAGGGGACCATCCCCGCACACCTGGGTAGCCTGGCCTGGCAGGGGGTGGCCACGAGACCCTTGATCAGCCCTCTTGCAAGTCACAGCCCCTCCTGTCTGTGAACCAGCCCTGTACAACAGCCCAGCCCTCACCCGGGATCACACAGCATCTCCCCTGGCTCCTCACACACCTGGGGGTGGCAGGGTCTGTGGGGCACCCTAGCTGCTGACAGGTAGCCTGTGCCAGCATGTCACCAGCTAGGGACAACAAACCCATCCAGGTGAAACACCTGCTTGTGAGCTTCCCCTTCACAGCATGTGGGAAGGTGATGAGCCAGTGGTGAGGACAATGGCTCAGAGACCCAAACTGAGAGCCGCTGCCTRCCCTGAACACTGTGACTCAGTTTCCCCCTTTTGATCCACAGCTTTGAGAGCAGCTCTGACTCTCCTTGCTCAGTTCCATCAGCAAGTCCGTGGGACCCCCAGGCAGGTGAAGGGTCAGGGAACAGCATCCCCTCAKGGCACAGCAGGAGCTGCCCCCACCAGTTTTAGCGCTGCCCCCTCCCCAGCCGCCCTCACTGCCCCTGTCCCTGCTCTGGCATCGAGGGGCTGGCACTGCAGCTCGTGGCAAATGGGCACTGCTGGACCTCTCACAGCCAGCYCTCGGGGATGCACTGGGAACAGGCTGTCCCTTCCCTGCCCAYGCTGCCCACCCACTCCCCTCAGCGAGGTGCAGGATGTGGGGTTATCTCTGGGTTTAGCCCCCAAAACGCTATGCTGGGAATGCACAGAGACAGGAGAGTCCTCAGGGACCTTTKCCTCCCCCTGCTCCCAGGCAGCTGGATCTGTCCTGGCAGGGGGAGAGGGGCCAGGGTGGGGGGCACCCACCCAAGAAGCAGTTTGGAGAACAGGAAACACAGCAAGGACTGCAATGGGAAAGGTGTCCAGGAACAGCATTCCCAGCCACACATGGGGCAGATAGGGAGGGAAAGCAAAAACAAACCCCTCCCGCGGGCAGACGAGCACTCACCTCTCTCACGGACGAAGTAGGCCARGTAGAGGTCGAGCTCCTTGACAGAGACGCTGATGTGGTGGGGCTGGACGCAGAGGATGGGGTTGGTGCACTGGCCCGACTTGACCAGGCGCTCGCCGTCGGTGCTCTCCAGCGGGATCCCTTTGAAGAGGATGACCATGACCAGGTCCAGCCGCCACACCTTGTCCGCCTGCCGCAGGCAGTCGATGCGGCGCATCTTGCCCTTCTGGTCGGGGTTGGAGAGGACGCAGCACGAGGGCTTCTTGCCCGTGATGGAGAGCACGAAGTCCTCGCGGCACTCGGGCCGGATGTCCTTGCGCAGCTTGGCCAGGAGGCGCGAGGCCCATTTTTGCTTCACCTCGGGCTTCTCACTCAGCAGCTCGTCCTTCACCGCCCTCTCCTCATCCTTCGTCATCCTCTTCTCGTGCTTCTTGAAGTACTTGCGCTTGCGGGCCTGCAGGTTGAACCAGGTGTAGGCAAAGGCCCTGACGTGGGGGAGCAGCGCCTCGATGAAGGGGTGGAATTCATCCTGTGGGAGCAGAGGGACAGGGGGTCACTTCTGGCCGAGTCCCTGCAGGCTCCCTCCYGGGGTGGCTGGGGAGCTCTGGGGACCTGCCAGGCTCATTCTCACTGGGCTGCATCCCCAGCAGGGAAAGCTGTGGCCGAGGCACATGCCCACCAGGGATGGGGATGCCCTCACCACTCAGAGAGGTTATCCCCATTCCAGCAGACCTCTGTAAATCCCACTGGTCACAATTCCCCCAGACCAAAAACCTGCGGGGAGTGGCTGGGCCACGCTGGAGCCCGCGGTGCTGCAGGAGGACAGGCACCTGAACAAGGCTGGCCACCTCGGCAGCACCTGAACCCGCTCCCCTTCGCAACCCCRCATGCCAGGATCTGCTCCCAGCAGGTGCAGAAATCCCACCTGAAATCCCACCTGACACTGTGCCCAGCGGAGCCGCTGTGCCGGTGTCAGGTGCTGCCAGAGAGCAACACCCCACTGCCGGGTCCCCCACACCCCCAGCATGCCGGGTGCTCCCGCTTGAGCTGTGGGCGCCTTGGACCTCTCTGCTGCCTCCAGACCAGCGGGAAACTCCCCCAGTTTGCCCCAGTTGCAGCCAGCCCGGCGGCTGGCGCCCAGCCCGGCACACAAGGCGTGCTCTGACTGCCTTTTTCCATTTGGCGAGCGCTGCTGGATGAGTCCGGCCCCAAAAAGAAAACAAGGAAAATGCATCCCCCTCCCTGGCCCCTCCTTCCCGCATCCTTTTTTTTTTCCAGTTTGGAAAAATCAGTGCTTCCTGGCGGGGGGGTGACCCACAACCCCCCCACGGGATGGAAAGGTGTTGGGAGCCTTCCTGCTGAGGAGCAGTACAGCTTGGAAAGCAGCTGGCAGAGGGTTGAGCATCCCCATGTGGAGCCAGGGCAGCACCAAGTCGGTCCCAAGGGCAGGATTTGGCCCTTGGGGTCCTTCTGACTGTGGGGAGGAGGAAGAGGAGGAAAGAGCTCAGCTGGATTCCTGCTGCAGAGWGTCAGGGCTGAGAGGGAGGTGGCTGGTGACAACGGCCACTACCATGCCACAGATCATGCCTGGGGAGGGTGCCGAGGGCACGTGCTGCTCTGGGGTGAGGAGGTGGCCATGGGCAGGAGCTGGGAGAGGACAGAGCCATGGCTGTGGGATGGGGCGAGTGCTCTGAATCTGGTACTGGCCGCACTCATCTCAGAGCAGCAATGCCATTCCCTGGCTGAAACAGCCATGTCCCAGAGTGACCCTGCCTGRAGGGAACAATGTCCCCTGAAATGGGCTCCCAGCGAGGATCAGCCCCATACAGACCCCACTAACTCCCACTTGTTCCCAAGTCCAGCACAAATCCCATTAACCCTAAACCTGCTCCCCTGGCACAACGGCCAGTACGGGTCCCATGGCACAGCCCTGGGTGTCCCCTGAACCAGTGACCCTGGCACAGACCCTGCTGTGACCTGGCACAGACATCTCAGCACAGACCCCACTGTTCCCGAACACAGCACTGTGACCCCACAGGTGTCCCCTCCACCATGCCCCAGGGGACCATCCCCTCACTGGGGAACCCATTGTACCCACAGGGACCCAAATCTGCTGACAGACCCATCCTGACCCTGGGGACCCATCCCTGCCCAGGGGACTCATCCTGCCAGGGGAACCCATCCTTGCCTGGAGGACCTGTCCCCGCTGGCTGCTCGTGGGGCGGCCACAAGGTCTGCTTCCCACTTCCCTCCCCAGCAGCAGCCGCTAATTCAGTGCAGCTGGGCAAGGGCTGGGCATGTGTCTTAAATCAGGGAAGAAGGTCAAAGAAAAGTAAGACAGGAGCCGAAAAAAGCAGCAGTGAGTTCCAAAAACAATACTTGGCCGGGGCGGTGGGCGGCTGATCTTCCTTGGTGGCCGGTTATTCAGACGAGCCCGACAAATTGCTGCCATCCCCTGGCTCCGCCACCCTCCCCAGGCAGCCGGCAGCAGGGCAGGCCACAGGGCTGGGGGGACACCACACCATTGTCCCCATCCCTGCCCTCCCGCTTGGGACGTGCCACCCCGGGCACCACTGCAGGGAAGCGTGGCAGGAGCCAGGTTATCCAGGTTGGGTGACCTGTGCTCACTCTGGGGGCCGGGGGCACTCGGTGCTCTGCCCCAGGATGGCAGCAGCAGCAGCCCCCAGTTCCGTGCCCTCCCCTCCACTGAGCAGGCTCAGTTCCCACTCGGACCCACAACTGAGACCCTCCAAAAACCTRCTGCGTGCAGAAGCCCCCGCAGCCCTCGGCGCCCCCGAAGCCACCGCAGGGCGCCCCCACCTTCCCCGGGATTACGGCAGGCCGGGAGCTGCTCCCAAAGCCAATCAGCCCCTCGCCAACTTTCCCTCCCGCCCGGCTTATCCCGCGCCGTGATGCCGCGGTTAAGCCGCTTTAGCGGGGCAGGCGAGGGCGCCTGGGGGGCACCAGGACAAGCACACAGGAGCGACTGCTGTTGGGGGCTGAGGGGAGATGCTACGGGACTTGGGGACCGTCCCCAACCGTGCAGCCAGTGAGCCTCTCAGCTGGGCACGCCATCCCRGCTGGCACCAGGCAGCTTCACGCCGGATCCACTCGGGAAGGCAAAGATGCTCTGTCTGTCCGTCCCAWGCCCAGATTCCCACCGGGCTCCCCCCATCCGGCAGCCGGAGTGCCGGCACAGGACTGGTTAAGTGTTTCTCCTGCTGTTTTTCCTTTGCAGGGCTGGGAAGCAGAGACGTGCTGCAATACCCCAGACGAGGCTGCTCCCGGGGCATTTCCGGATGGGAATCTGGCAGCAGAGCCTGCGCTTGGGCCTCATCCAGCCCAGGCTTGTAAAGCCCTGCAACCCAGGCAGGAGCACGCCTGCGTCGGCCCTGCTCCGTGTCCCCCCGCGCCCCCCTTCAGGGGCTGCTGGAGCGCTGGCTTTCTATGCCAGGAGCTGTCAGRGGAAACTGAGGCACGGGTCAAGCCCGGCTCTGTTTTGCGGTGGAGCGGGGACAGGAAGGAGGGATGCTCTGTGTGAAGCTGTGCATGCCATGCAGGATTAACTCCTCCACAGCCCAGGGTTTGGCAGTGCCAGGGAGTGGGAATGGGCACAGCCGAGGCGTTGCCTCTTCCCGTGCCTCGCCACCGGCTCGGCAGCACCGGGGCTCTGCACTCCGGGGTCCCTCCACCCGGGGGACAGGGGGGATCCTCTCTGCCCCGCAGGGACACAGCACCTGGCACGGGCACCGCGGCATGGGCTGGCCACCCTCCGAGCATCCTCCGCTCCAGCGCCTTGTCCAAACAGGTCGGGCTCAGCGAAACAGCCTGAATTTTCCAATGAAAAAAGCGTTTCCTCAGGAAATTCCCGAGCAGTTTTCATGGGRGAGGCGCTGGGGTGAGGGGCGGAGAAGGAGGAGCAGGACGGGAGGGGTCAGACACCTCAGCAGCGGGTTTCGCTCCCCACCAGCACGGCCTCGGCAGCGGGGAGGAGCGGGATGCCATCCCCAGCGCGGGCAGGGCGCGACACGGTACAGCCTCGCTGCATCCCAGCCCTGCAGGGACCACACAGGGTTCACTTCATGAAAGTTCGCTCTGCCGCCCCTCCAGCAGCCGCACACCTCCGAACCGCTGCCGGCTCCCACGGCCGCCGCTCCTGCCAGGTCCCGCTCCCCGCGGCCCTGCGAGCCCGGGCAGGGGCTGGCAAGTTGGGCGGCGGGTTCTGTGCCCCCATGGGAAGCCTTGGCGCGGCGGCAGCGGGGATGCGACTACCGAGACTCCAGTAATCCTCAAAATCCCGGTACCTGAAAGGGGCACAGCGGGGAAGCTGCTTTTCCCTCAGCAGAGCCCGCGGATGCCCTCGGCACGGACCGCGGAGCCTCCGGTAGCCGCTTATAACTGTTCACCGAAGTGGCTCTGGGTAATGAGTTAACCTGGTAATGAGACCTGTTGCCGAGACAGATGCAAATGATTGGGAAGTGCTCATTAGAGGGGATGGAAGGAGGCACTTAGGCCCTGAAAGGCACCCAGCCCTTCCCGGGGCCGCCCTGCACCCTATTAGAGCCCATTTTACAATAATTGCTCCTGAGGAGGAAATCTATTTGGATTCATCATAAAGTATTTATTAACAAGAACTTATTCATAATTTTTGCTGCTCGCCGGTGTGGCGCGGCCGGGCGTCCCGGGCTGCTCCACATCGGCACGCAGCTTCCCCGGCCCGGGGAAGGGGGCAGGGGGGCAGCGAGGGGGCACGGGGGCAGCTGAGGCTCCCGGGGCGGGTACGAGCTGTGCTGGCATTGCCTGTGCACACCTGGCCCCACGACAGAGCTGCCCGTGGGGCAGAACACGCTGTCGCAGTCACGTTCCCCCCAGCTCCGGGCTGACCCAGCCCCTCGCTTGCAAAACCCCTGGTGCAGCCCACGCTGGGGCACAGAGCCTCGGTGCCCAGGGCACCTGGCTGGCACCACTGGCACAGGTGGAGGTGAAGGCGGGACACGGCGCAGCCTCGCAGCTGCTCTCTGCAGATCCTGTGGCTTTTYCCCCGCCGGAGCATCCTCCAGCCAACATCCACACACGGCTGGGGGCTGTGGGTGGGCTGGACTGTTCCCGCCAGGGGTTCTGGTGGGAGGGGGAGCAGAGATGGGGCAGGGAGAGGCTTCTATCTCATTTACTGCCGCGATGCTCAGCCCCACTCAGGATCAGCCCAGGAGGGGGTGGATGGGCTAACACAGCCCCCCTGATGCTCACCGTGCACCTGAGACCACACACCCCTCACTGAGCCGCCTGGGGCTCCGCACACACCTGGCACTGCCCAAAATCGCCCCGCCGGGTCCTGTGAGCCCCCCTGGAGCAGGCAGGTCCCCGGCGCCCCCGGGTGCCGGGCCGGTGCCCACCTGCCCGTGCCTACGTGCCGGGGCGGGAGCGGCGCTCGCCCTCGCAGGTGCTGCGGCTGCGAGCGGGGGCGCGGGGAGCGCGCCGAGGCTGCGGGTCACAGGAGGCCGCGGCGGCACAGAACCTGCCAGTTGCTTT